AAACAGAGACTTCATTCAAACAACCTCAAAAAATTTCACCACCATCACCTTTATTACGTACTACACTGACTAGGCTGTCAAGTTAAAATAACAAACTTTTATTAGTAATAGAAAACAGACCAAATTTGAAAAAAATCCTTGAAAATGTTTATTAATTTATTATTGAAAATCTGCTTTAGCTTAGTTTAGTTTTGAATAAGGTATTCTGCATTCAGTGAGAATTCAAACTTCCTACAGAACAAAGACTTGTCAGCATCATGGAGCAAGAAAACAAAACAGAACAAAAAGAAAAAAGAAAAAAAAAAAAAATCAATCCAGTCACTTAAAAGCCAAATGCAAAAAACTATTCCTGAATTACTTAAGTCCACAGAAATCTGACAGGCTTGTTTCAAAAACATCTATTACTTAGCTTGCAAGCGAATGTAGAAGTGAGGAACAAGATATGACTCAGTAAACTCCACATAAATAAAGAAATGGGAAGCTAAATTTATGAGGCGCTCCAAAGGACAAAACTCTTAGAAGACAGAATAAACCTATCTAGGGGTTTTAGTTTTGTTTTGGTGTTTGGGGGAGGGAAAACCCCACCCCATGTGAATTTTCTGGCATTCCTGGTTATGAACATCGCTGTTGTTTTGGGATGTGCTTTTTTAGTCCCTTGTTCTCATCCGTCTTACAGCTTTTGATCCAAGTGAACTGCAATCTCTGCTATTGAGGAAATTTCCACTGCTTTTGTGGCTGTCACTATGCTGAGGTGCCCCTGCCCATGGCAGGAGGGTTGGAACTTGATAATCTTAAGGTCCTTTCCAACCCTAACTATTCTATGATTCTATGACACTTCCACAAGTAAGTGATACTTCAGCAGTAGTGCTTCTGTGTAAGAAAAACTAAAGGAAACCAGAACAACATCTAGAGACAGTTCTTTAAAAGATTAGGAGATAGAAAAGTCAAGTACTTCACTAAGTCAAACATGAAAGAACATTAAGCATTCAGAAGTTGAAATGGATGAACTCACAAGGAACAGGTCTTTACACATATATATGCAAATTACACTTGAAAAGGGGGGGGTCCTGGGAGGTAAGAGGACAAGGATATCCAAAGATCTCAACTCCCTCTTTACACCATCAGTAACAAGAGCTGTAAGCTACAGGCCAGCATCACAGCTGTTGTTTCATTAAGTAAAATATACACCTGACACTATTTCCAGTGTTACTGCAGAATTAAATCTGTGCACCATAAAACTAAGACTGCAACTCAAACATTTTGGTAATGAAAACCATTATGAATACATGAAAACTATTTTAATAAACTAAATCCAAATCACTCATCACCCTTCTAAGCTGGTGACATAATAAAGTATGTGAATAAAAGTGAACAGATGAATAAAATACAGGTGAATAAAAGTCCTGAAGCTGGAATTATGTGGTAAAAAGGCTCTGATCGAGATTTAACATTGTAAACCTATGTAAGCCATTCACAACTGGACAGTAACCACTACACAGTTTGAATTATTAACGTATTGCTAGCACTCAGAAGTACTTTTTTAGTGTTTGAGCTGCTTAAAAATAGAATATTGCTTCCACTCTCCATTAGCAAGCTCCTCTTTCAGCAAGTAGTATGCATGCAAAACAAAAATCAGCAAAACATTGTAGGAAAATAAAGTTTCCTAGTTAAGCCACTGTGAAATCAGAATACATACACATTGAGCTGTAACAGCAGATTTCAACTGACTTTTACAAAGCAAGGGAAAAACCCTAGCCCGTATGAAAGTGTTTATGAATAACTTATGTACTAGAAACCACACAATTAGATTAATAAATTGCTCAGGTATCACTGGGCTGCCCATCAGATTAGCAGTCAATGCAATCAAATTTTTAATGTACAAGATCACCATGAACAAGAATGCTTCAGGAAGAGAAACCCCCACGCAGAAAACATTAACTGTAACTAAACCAAGTAAATGGTAACCACATTAAATTATTACAACATGTTTTTCAGAAGTAGTTATACTGAAAAATCAAAGTTTAACAAGAAAAGATACAGACAAAAAATTTAAAACAGGAAAGCCCTGCAGCCTTATATGAGAAGTTCCAGTTCTGGCTGTTGCTGCACTTACCATTTATGTCCTTCTTTTAAACTGAACAGTAAAAAGGGATAAGTGAAGGAAGCTTAGTTTTCAAAGCTTTTAAGAAACAAAAACAAGGATTAGAAACAATTATTATTTTCCTTCTAAATATATGGTTGCCAGAAGACTTGTATGTTACAAGGATTATGCCAAAACAGTTTATCAAGGCCTGAAATGGTAAAAACTATCCACCAGTATTAGAAAAAAAAAGCAATTTTTACCAAGAAGCAACTTTTGAACCCTTAAAACAGAGAATTTTTCAGTGTATGTACAATGGTAATCTGAGACTAGAAGTAATTAACAGATTGAGTCTGTTCACAATAAACAAGTATTAGTGAGAATTAAAAATATAGTTGTATGAGAAATTCTACTAAATTGAAAAAATAATTGATGTTTCATTTTGCAGTCTCCAGAAGTGGTTTATAATCCTCAGCTGCAAAATGCAAAGCCTTTTTCAATTCCCATTCACACTATACAACCAAATATAATAAAAACCTATAAAATTGATAGGCCATGTTTGGAGTTACACAGCTGACCTTATTAGAAACAGTTGCTAAAGAAAGTAAATACATCAGTTCCAATTTTGTTTTCAATTCTTCCCCTTTGAAAGTTCAAAGGACGTGAGAAGTAAAATATGAGTCGACACAAGTCCAGAACACCAAGGACTAGTCTGAGGACTAGAGGAAACTTTCGGTTTTAAATCACTGTATATGCCACTTCAACTTCACATGACATTAAAAAACACCTGTACTGTATTTCCTTATATAACTTACAACAATTTTGGTAGGGTTGTCACTGCACAGCTACATCTATGTATTTTTGCAGTGTATTAATTAGTTCCAGATTAACACACAATTCCAGTAACGTAACTCAGTGGGAAAGCTACATTCTCTCAAAACATTCTTCCACCTTCACCCTTCCCAAAAAGAATTTCACCACATAAGTCACAAAAATTATACATATTGTTTGAAGTGCTTTCCATTTGAATCATTCCTCTCCCCTTCTTAAACTGAATTTTTGCCACGTCTAGCACCACCAAGTTTTTATTCACATAGAGTTTGGCATTCAGAGATGCACATAAGCACAAGGATGGCCAACTGTAGCAAGCAATTCAAGCACAGAGGCTAAGTAACATTACCTCCAGAGAGCTGCAAGAAGAAAGCCAGTAGATTGCTGTGGCGAACATTTTCTAGCTTTCCACAGCACCAGAAGCTGCACAATAGAGGCCATCATCTCCTAAGAGCAACAGCATCTGAGGGAGATACTGCCATCTCATGCCTGTGGGTTGGCTCCCTCACTTCCCCTTTAAGCAGCTCTCTGCGTAGCAAATAGCATGGGGTCTCGCAGATCAACCACAAGATTTCTGACAGGGAGCTTAGAGTGTCACAAAGTCAGGCCACTCCAAAAGATGCTACGTGAAGACATTACAGAGAAATGAAATTTCTTATTTGGTACTAGAGAAACCACAACCACTTAAGTGCTATTTCTAAGTTACATCAGACAGCTGTTACATGCTATTTCACCAAGTATGTTTAAAAATTATGTAGGAACACACTGAAGGACATGATGAATCTCGATCTTCATCACATCAAAGAAGAGACATATTGAAAGTAGTTTTCTTTTACAGTGTGAGCACATATGGAAATAAGTGATAGATTATTTTCAGCAAAATCAACTGACAGCTGTTAGTAATGTCAAAGGAACAACTTTGCTTCCTCTCCCTCACCTTTACTAAGAACACTAAGGGGAGAGGATGGGGGGACAGGGAGGAGATGTCCCCCTGAGAACAGGAAATCTCTTATTTTTTAACTTCTCTTAGATTGTCTCAGAAAACCTCAACTCTACATAAAATGTTGTGGTATAGAATTTAAAGAAGGTATTTCTTCCACAAAATACAAAATTAGAAATTATCTGAGAAATCAACAGTTTATTTTTATGTATCAAGCTGTACCTGTGAAAGGGAGCAAAATTCCCTCCTGCAGACTACAATGTTCTGTTTTAAGAGAACACTGCATGGATCACTTATTGCTTCCTCACTAAGAATAGCTGTAACAGTAAAAGATATTCTTCTCATATGAAACTAAAGCATTCACCATACAGTCTGTGTTCATTTAACTGCTTTGGTTGGGGGTGGGGGGGGGGGTGGGGGGTGCGATAAAAAAATCATACCCTTGAACAAAATCATGAAAATTTAGAAGCTGACTCCTCTGACACCACCACTTAGCTAGTTCTGCGAGGTGAGTCTTCAGAAGCAGAACACACCTAGAATACTAATAAAAATAATGTGGAAATTATAGCAGAGGGCAATTTTTGTGGGTTTTTTTCCCTCCACATTTCTGGTCTTTTGGTCTCCTTTAGTAAAGATTTTGAGGTTTTACTCATCCAATTTTAGAGTAGAATCTTGGGAGACACTGATTTTAGGCTCCATACAAAGTTAATACTGCCCATTTTGTTTCTCAAGTACACTATTCTTAAGTTAAGCTTGTGTGAATTACTTGTTTTGGTTTATGCTTAACAGCCTGAACTGGTTTAAAATTTAAACCTTTAGTCAAACTAGGGCACCTCTTCACAGAAACATCATTTACTCCCATGACTTCCCACCTAGAGAAATTATTTATTTTAATGGAAAAATTCTTTTCTCAAATAAAAAAGGAAATTTATTATGTGAACCCAAGTGAAGAAATGTTATATCATCAGCTTGTAGGAAAAATAACAGCTTGTAGGAAAAATAATTCGTAGCACTTCACTCATGAGAACAATGGAATACTGAAGGAAAAAAGTAAACAAGAAGGTGGCAGCTCAACAGCTACTACATAAAAATCACAAGTTTTACAAATTCCTTTAATAATTCACACTCTTGCCATAGAATTTTACTTACATTGTCCATGAAATTTGGTTTGAATCCTCCCTCCTGCTGTCGTCGTAATTCCTCCTGTTCTCTCTGCCGCATCATCTCTTCTTCACGACGTCGATGTTCTTCCTCATGTCTAGAATAGTTTTTAAAAACTACGTCAACTTAGACTCTTGACCTGTTCAGGTTTGTACTCAGCTTCAGGAGATAATATCAACCATATAAACAAAACTGGACATTTATTTTTTTAAGATAGTGTAAGGCACTAGCCTACTCCACTTGATGGGTTTGAATACTATTGAAGTGTTTATCTTTTTTAACTGGAATATCAGTAAATACCAGTACATTCTATACCTGTTGTTCTGGCTACATACTGGATGGCAGGTTAAAATATTCCAGTTTATAAAAAATTCCTATGGATTAAAGCATTTCAATACTGCCAAAAGACATATTTTTAACTCAAGAGGTGTTTGTGCTTTGTCTTTTTTCTCATCTACATTTCTTGGGATATTTAATGTAAAAAATGTAAACTCAATCAACACGATGATACTATGCCTATTTTCTTAAACTTTAGCAGGGGCATGAAAGCAAGTATTTGTATGAACAAATCTTGAAGAAAAAATTGTTTGCAACATACCAGAATGTTATGTTCCCTTAATATACCATAATATCAAGTGAAAATACTCCCCAAAAGTCTCATTACAGACTTTAAATTTGCAATGCTACTATTCCACATGCCCATAAATCTCAGAAGCATGTCTGTATCACAAGGCTAAAATAAACACTATGAAACAAAAAAAAAACCACACCAAATAAACAAACAAACAAAAAATCAAACACATTATTTCTCCACTATTTATAAAGCTCAAAAATTTACAACAGAACTAGTAGAGCTTAAATAAATTAAAAACTTCAGAAATACTTGAAACCATTCTTTTATATTAGTCAAAGTGATCACTTTTCAGGAACATTAAAAGAATCACCATGTACTATGCTTTCCAAAAGCAGCTTTTTAGCAGGAGAAACATTTTTATTTGACATCAAAAGCAAGCTCTACAAGCTAGAGGATCTAAATTCATGCAAGCCTACAGCAGCTGCATGCCACACCTTTGCACAGTAGAAGACAAAATACCTCAGTTGGATCTGCTTGCGTTTTTGAAGTTCTTGATTTCGAAGTTCTTCCAAACGCCTCAATTCTTCTTGACGTCGCATGAGATCTAACATGATTAAAAATGCAATAAACACAAAAGCTGCCAATCAACAATGTGGCAAAACATAAAAATTTTATTACTGTCAGATTACAGTTCTAACATTCCATTTTAAAGCAATTTCTCAAGACATTCAACTAGCTTCTTCCCATAAAGCTAAGTCTAGTAGTGTATGAAAAAAACACACTGGATCCATAGCTCACAAACACAAAAAAGTACAGGACTGGCAAAGCCTACAAAACAGGTTGCAGAAACAGAAATCTGAAGTCCTCAAACAAAGGAAAGGAGAAGAAACTTAAAATCCCTTAATCACATCCTGGTTTCACATCTAGGGCAAGGAATCAATTTTCTCACAACGCTTTGTACCACTGAAGTCACACTAACAAGAAAACTAGTAAATATACATGGGTTTACGCTCCCCACTACCTACTGTAGACCACTGTATGACATGCATCAGAAACAAATTATATGATCTTCAGGTGCATGTAATACAAGCTTGCATAGATTTACTGCACGACTGCTGAGAGCAATTTATAAATGGCTAATTTTTTAACACTATCAGAAAGGAACAGCTGTATCCTCTTCAAAATTCAAAAACACTTAAAATACACATAAAAACCAGGGTGCAATTAATAGTCATTACTTTTTCTGTACTGGTTTCTGCCCAGCCACATTACTGACTTCACCCTGGAAATATGTGCTTTATTCAATTAATATTAATTGTACCTTTTGTTAGAAAGCAGCTGCTTGCCTTTTCTATCTTCATAGGATATTGGCCACATGACATTATTTATAGACACCAAGAGAAACATTCACCTATACCACCTATTTTATGCCTTTATTCAACTGAATTCTTCACGCTTTTCTCCATGCATTTCTTCACTGTATTAATTAAAACATTATTTTATAGCTATGCAGATTGCTTTCCTCAAACTTCCATCAGCATGTATTATTAGTTACATATTATAACTTAGCTTTTTGCTTTAATACCCAGAACAACTACAATGACCAGTACATTTCATCAAAATGTCATGGATTTGTTTTCTTTTCTACTAATGAAGACTATCAGAGTTTTACTCTCACAGCACTCTTAGTGCCATCAGAAGTCCTTCCTCAAGCACATTTTGCAGGCTTCTTTTTCCAGTCTCTTCTGCAAAATTAATGTATTTCAGACCTCAACAGAATATGATTACATTGAAGATTCATTCAAACCACAAAGTCCAAGGGCAGCTTCATTCTAACTGTGCTTGTCTAAGACGGCTGCACCACTGTTAACCTGACACAAGTGCCACACACACATGCTTGTTTTGGTGGCGGTTGTGTAGGTCTGTGGGTTTTTTTGGTTTTGTGGGTTTTGTTTGGGTTTTATTGTTTGTTTGTTTTGGGTTTTCTTTGGTGGTTGTGGTTTTATTTTCAAGTAACTTTTAGATTATTTCAGAGTATGTTCTTTTAAAATTAACCTTTAGGTTGTCTCAGGTTATCACTGAGATCAAGAACTGACCCATTCTATGCTCAATTTTGTCCCTTGTGGGAAAAAAAAAAGCATTTCCTTTCCAGTTCTTTGTTCGTTCAAATTCATGCAGCTTTCCCTTTTTCTTGGGTTACTACACTGGCACAGGATCTCCTACTTCTCTCTCCCACTAAATTTACCCAACCTGTATTTTCAGCACTGAGCCATCTTTTCCAGTATCAAACTTATGACCAAAATTTAAAATGTGTCAAATTCAAAGGGAGGGGGGCCCTGTGCTGTGTATTATAGGCATTTTTGTTGTATCACATTAACATCCACATTCACCACCTGTAACTATCCTTAACATGCAAGCCAATAAACATTTTTTGCTTGGAAAATAAACCAAGAAGCAATTTGACAGTTGCTATTTCAGGTGCTGCAATAATTATTTAGCATTTCAAAACAGTTTTTCATTTTACTATGTGCTGTATTTTATCTTTACATAAGATCTTTTTTAACACACTAAAAGCAAGCATGCTTGTTTCAGAAAACCAGGCTTTCTCCTCATGACAACTTTAAGTTGCCGTAGATTTAAAAATACTATATAAAAAAAGAAATTCCTCCTTTTAATTTATTCTCCAGTTATGACAATGTTTTAAAGGAGATTTTAAAGGACTGTGTTTACATTCAATATATCGAAGCATTTAGGTTCTTAAATGCCACCAACCTAGTAAATACATTAATCCAGCTCATTGAGAGTTTTTCAACATGACATTCAAGTCAGCAGAAAAAATTAAGATAAATCATTCCCACACAGGGAAGTTTCACTACCAACAAAAATGTCATTTCTTAAAAGCATTAAAACCAAATAATTGCAGCAAACAGCTTTTATGAATTACCTGGGTTTAGGTTTTCAAATGCATCCACTACAAGTTCATATCCTTCATAATGACAAGGGACTTTTATTCAAGCTATCAAGCTAATTACTGTCTTAGGATCTAACACTTTAGGGGCAAGATTTTTTTTTTAGGTAGTCATGACCTCCCTTAAATTAAGATTTAAAAAAAAAAAAAAAAAACAAAACCAAACACACAAAAACACACACACAAAAAAAACCCCTCCACACCACAAACCTTCAGTGTTTCATTCCTGCAACAAACCTTGAGATCCTTCCTGATACATCTGCAATGAATTTAAACTTTATTGCTTGAGTCTTGTAATTTAGCAATCCTACAGAGGGAACTAAAAATCAAGTAGTAGTTCAATATTTCTGAACTGGAAACCAGTGCTTGCATGTCCACAGCACTTCAGGAAAAATGTGCTTAGGGTAAAAGGTTTACAAGAACAAAAGAGCAGATACTCTCCCTGTTACTCTGCCCAAGAAACAAAGCTTCACCCAGCTCCATTCTTAAAGGCAGGACTTGAAAGCAATTCCTAGAAAACTTCTTCCCTGACAACACTAGCAGAAGGCAAGATGCCCAAACAATTACAAAAGAGGGGATATATGATCTTCAAATTTCAAGAACGACTGAAATTCATGGCAACTGTGAGCTATTTTAAGTTGTTACATACATATAATACTACGCACACACCAGACTGTTCAGCTGGGTCACAAAAGGGAAAAAGAAACAGCATTAGCTACTGGAAGATTAGAAATTAAACCCAAGATGCACAGAAGAACCAAAAGCATTATGAGCTATCATCTTATTTTTTCCTGCACATAGCCCATAAACAGTACTTAAACCTATCCAGCAATATCAAAAATGTAACTTTACTGATAGGTGTGAAACTACCATTCAATTTCTTTAAACTACTTAACACTATATAAATTTAAGAATGGACCTAGGCAATCGCCTCTTACTCAGTTTCCTAACCCATCTCTACAAATCATCAAGGTATATGTGCAAGGAGATATACAACTTCCTTTTTCTCAGTTCAATGCATTTAATAAAAGAGCATCTGACAAAATACCTAATTTTAACATACAGCTCCATATACTATACAAAGAAAACCTGTGACAAAACAAAATTAATACTAGTAGATTATCTGATTTTACCTTGCCTCATCAGCATTAGCTGATGCTCATGTCTAGCTGCTTCCATTTCTGCCTCTAGTTTCTCTTTGGCTTCTCTAATGTTCCTGTCAACCTGTTCACGCTGTTGCTTTTCCATCTCATCAAGAGCCTTCCACCGTGAAGCATACTCAAACTCAAATGTTCCAGGCTGAGCAAAACGTGGAGGCTGTTCTCTTTCCCTAATAAAAATTTTGCAGTTAAAATATACAGAAGGACACATTTAGATCAACAGCTGTAACAGCCAAAGAATCTATAAACAATCACTTCAAGTGTAGGTCTGACTTTAAATCAACCTGTCAGATGACTACATTCTAATCCAGGAAAAAGCTTAATTCAGCTGGAATTTTCCAAATAAAGATCTGTTCTATTTATGCAGTTTTAAGGTAAAAATTCATGCCTGCATCAGCACAAAATACTAATGGGCAACACTAGATTAACTGTGTTCAGCTTTCTAAAGCAAGCAGTCAATTCATAAAACCAGTTATTTATATAAAGCTTACTAGGCAGCTCAAGAGTATTAGCCAGGATCTCTAACCATTAGAAGGTGTCAACATTTTATTTCACATTCTAACACTAACATTGCAATGAACGATGGCAATCATTTTTTAAAAGTGGTATTCTACAGCCTCACCAAAATAGGCTTTTTACCTTCAAGCAACATGACTTCTAAATGGTAATCAAACTTCAATATTAAAAATTATCACAAGGGGGACCTTAAGTCACCCAATGATCTAGACTCACTTCTTCATGCCATACTCAAAACTTTTATATGAACTGTGGAATCTTCCAGGATTTATGCTCCACTGACTCTACAAACAGCTAAGGGGCTATTCAGAGAACATAAAATTTGTGCGTATACAAATCTCTGGAGGATTAGACCACAGCCCTAATCCATAAAGGACTTCTTGCTTTGTTGACAAGCTCCAACTGATTTCAGTGTAGGCTAGGATTATATCTACTTTAGTAAATACACAGAATGTTAAATCAACAAGCCTGAATGATTAGAAAATACTGGCAAAATCTTATTTAATCATTTGATACAAAACAGCACAACATACTTCCCGCTACACAAACTCAATACTAGAAATTAGCATCTGTTTACCATGGTAACTAAATACATCAATCACATTTTATAAAACAAAGCTAAACACAACTTACTTGTGATACTGTTGTGTTTTTTGCATTAACTTCTCTGGGAGCCCATCTTCATCATCAAATTGCTCCATTGGCTCTACAACAACAGGTCGAGGTGTTCTGGAAGACATTTTCAATTTAATAAATGAATCATAAATGAGAAAGTTAGTTATTTTATTATTTTGATGAAACACTTCAGAAAGCTAGTATGTTACCTGTAATTCTTGTCTTCCAAACTCTTAAATTACAGAATTTAAATTAATCCTGATTTTAAGAATGATCTTTTAAAAGGATTGTTTCTGTGCCCAAAACCAGCTCTTATGCCTAGAAACCACAATTTACTTGCCGCAGTTCTGTCTGCTTAAAAGTAAAGTTTTTTTAAAAATCTCAAAACCACCTACAAACTATTAAAAGATATTTAGGAAGGAACTACCTTTTTGTTTCCATCACTGAGGCAACACATGGGCCATGATCATGTTGAGAAAGCACCAAGCAAACCCAGAACAGAGCAACAAAACCTATTATTTCCACAGAATATTAAAAATTACATTTCAAAGTTACTCTACAACTGAAAACAGACTGATAATGTGGCATTAATATTTCAGTGATAATGAGCAAAATATTTCTGCTTATTTAAAACCCATTCTTTGAACAATCATACTCTCACAAATCAGAACCTAATTTATCTATGAAAATGCCTTCCTTGAATTCTTACTATCTGTAGCAATCAGAGGCAAGTATTAGCAGTACTGCCAAGGACAGCAGTATAAGGATCCTGAACTGTGTAAAACATCTCTGCATCAGTCTTGGGAGCATAGCCTATAACCTACGGTAAGAACTAAAGACACTATTTTCAAAATGCCAGTGCTTATTTATTGTGTTCCACACCTTTATTTCACTTCGAAGATCTTTATGCAGAAAAAAAAAAAATCAGTATGTTTTTAGAACATTAACATCTGAGAAAGAAAACTTTGGGCACAGCATGCAGATTCAAAAGATGAAGCCACGAATCACAGAACACAAGTCAGCAACTATTTTTCCTGATGTTATCTGCACAGCAATTGCTGGCAGTTGTTATTTAAATGTAACTCAACTGTGGTTTTAATGAGTTATGATGTAAAACAATTTTGACTCTCTAATGTTTCCAATGCCTAGCGTTGGTATATTTAACCCATTTTTAGACGTATTTAGAATTTAAATACTTTCTTATGATCAGGCAAAGAGCGCTTTCAGCTAAAAATGTAAAGTTTTAGATTCTGAAGCAAAACATCAAAGTATCATGGCAGCAGATTGGTGCTGTCTTTGCAACTGCGCCATCGGGAAGATGTGAGCCACATAAGCAAGGGAAAGATCAAGCGCTTTTTATCCACCAAGGCCACTGTTAGGTGGTTATTCAATCCAAGAAATCTATACAGCTGGTAAAAGAAGCATACCACCCCTCATATCCTAGCTTCTTTCTCCCAGCCCCATCTCTCATGCCAAGAATAGCATTCATGTAACTCTCAACTAGATCAGTTCCCTTGTTTGGCTCACCATGCTTCTATACCAATACTAATGCCAAAGAAAACCCAGGGAATAAGAACAAATTGCTGACACCTACTGATAAGAGCAAAGGCATATACAGACTGAATTTACCACGTAGCCACCAGATCAGTTCAGTGGCACACTGAAGATTTATGAGGTTATCATGAGAAAGAGGAGTTTCAGACACTCTCCCCATCTGCAGTATCCTCACAACATTTTCCCCTGCCTTATCCCCTGCCGGACCTGACAGCACCCATGTTAGCAAGCACCTTCATATACAAAAATGAACCCAACAAAAACAGCTGAATACTTTTCTGTTGTTTCAGCGAGCACAAGTGGCTTATGGAAGTATCAAAGAGTTCTAAGTGGCTGACAGATCAACAGCACAGCCAGGGCAAGAAAATGAACTATAAGTTCCCTAGTTTGATCACAGAATCATAGAACAGTTAGGGCTGGAAAGGACCTTAAGATCATCTAGTTCCAACCCCCCTGCCATGGGCAGGGACACCTCACACTAAACCACGCCACCCAAGGCTTCGTTTGATGGCAGCAAGCTTCCATCCTGTGAAACTAAAGCTTTATTTTCCAAAATGAGAATCAGAAAATACTTTAAATCCTGAGTGTATCATTTCACACAGTCTTTAAGAAAGCAGTTAAAAATGTCACAAACTAATGTGTTAAAGCACAGCAGTTAACAACTCTGGCATGTACAGAAATTGAAGATGCAAGAAAAGTGCTGTAATTTGCAAGCTTGCTTGCCCTTGAAATACAGTTACCCAGAGATCACTGCCATAAACTTCTGCATAATCTAAGGCTTCAATCTAAATCTTCATTTACTAAAAAAAAAAAAAAAAAGGAAACCAACTTTTGATATAAAAATAAATGCAGGAACACCTCCCTGAAGTTTATGGAAGTATCAACAACATAGTGAGTGTGCTGTTTAGCAGCTAGTTACTGGGATCAGGAAGAGTGCAATCAACAAAAATAAGTTCCACTAGAAAAAGCCCTAGTATACAGAGAAATAATACTGTATATAAAGGAAAAGCAAAACTTTGCTATCGGATTCTTGTAATTACAAGAAGTAAGCAGCAAAAGATGGTTTTCCTTACCAGAAAAAAAAAAAAAAAAGAAACACCCACAAAAAAAAAACAAACAGGCACATTTGGCATATTCATGTAAAATATCTTAGTTTTTCACCTCATGGCTTTCAGAATTGAAAATTAAGAACTAGGGGATAGCCATGAATACAGTTTTCTTTCACATCAGAAATACACAAATTCAAATAAAATCCTGTGAACTTACGTTGTTAGCAAGAATGCCCCATCACTGCATCTTTCTAGAGCTTTTCGCGCTGGAGGTTTTGCTGCAAACTCTACGAAACCTTTTCCTGTAGCTCTGCCACGATCATCTACTACAACAACAGCTCTTTCCACTGGCCCAAATTGGGAGAATGCTTGTTCCAGCAGCTCATTAGAAACCACAGGTGACAGATTCTTGACGGTTAGGGCAGCTCCATGTGTAGCAAATCGAATTCGAAGTGGTCTGCTCTTCAAAATAGTACCATCAAGCTCGGCCTTTGCTATTTCAGCCAGTGTCCTAGATTCCTTTTTCAAGATTGAAAATAAAATACATCAAGTATTTTCTAAGAAAACAGGTAACGCTTTTGTGTCAGTGACCCATCCCCCACATCTGAAAAGCAGGGTTTTTTTTCCTTAACTAGCATCAGGGTCATTCAACTTCCCCCACCCACCAAGAGAAAGGCAGAGTCGCTGTCCACTGATGTTAAAAAAAAGCCCCTGTGATTTATTCTTTAGAAAAAAAACAACCCACACACCATAGGCACAAATTGTTGTAACATTAGTGTGTTAAATTCTCATTATAATAGATGATTGTGCTGCTCCGTAAAGGCTTTCAGCAGAGTTGAAAGCCTGCTGATTTTTCATATTTACACATTCAAATGTTGATATTCTGTATCCCTGCCTCCACACAGTAGGAAACAGCATTTTCAAAGATCAGACTACAGGATCTAAGGTGTTTTTTGTTTGGGTTTTTGTTCTGAAGTAACAAAAATATCACACTTGCTTATTACAACTGTCAGATGAACTCTCAATGGATGTCCAATTTCAATTTTCATCAACAAATGATGGAATTACCTTTGCTCATGTATTCATTATTCTCACATTTATGGGTTTTCTGCACCCACATCCAAGATACAGTCTGCATCAGTAATTGCCTTTTTTCTCATTTCAGAGATTTGCACGTAGCTTGAACTTGCAACTCCTTACATTTAAATTATTCTTTAGATCCTAGCCATTTTCACCAGAATTCAGCTGACTAAACTGTTGTAAAATAACATATTCTCTAAACACAACGGAAAAGCTGCGTATATAAAAGCTGTAACTACCCTATATTACATCCAAAAGTGCGCCGTGACATGTAAATATATCACACTTCCTCCAGAAAATTGCTATTTCAGGATGGGGGATTCTTAATTTAAAAGACGTATGGCAGAACTCCACAAGCATTTATCTTTCAGACGATCAAGAAGAAAAAATGTCCTAACCAGTAAAATATACAGAAAAATCTAAGTAGACACCCAAAGCACTCTAAAGCTATTCCCAGGATGATATAAATTAGTGCATTCTAGACACGGCAGACAGGAAAACTAATCTCGCACACTAAAACTGACAGTTAAATACAGTATCGTAAGTTTTTCACGATTCCCTTTTTTGCATGCTTGCGCATAGCGATTAAACATTTTACTACCCTTTAAAAATCTTATCTGGACCAAATAATTTAAACAACTCAAGGTCTCATTTCTTTGCAATTCTGAGATTACATGTTCTGATTTCATGATGTGTCAGCAGTGGTATTTCGAAACAATCCTGTCCAGTCTTTAAAATTAACTGTTTTCATAGACAAAACCTACATTCATAATGAACTGTACAGGCTGAAATTTGCTTCTGCATGAAGAAGGATTTTATTTTTTTTTCCGAGTTCGAAAGTATGCTACGTTCTCCCAGTTAAATTAGGGAAGTCTTTATACAGGTATTACAACACCAAAGCAGATCGCACAGCCACATCTTCCATTCACTGGAGAAGCAATGGCTGCACGAGTGAGTACCCGCGTAGTAGCATGTAAACGGTAACCGGCGAAGGAACCCTTAAACCAGCCGGGTACCACGCAGTGAGGTGGTGACCCGAACGCGAGGGGCTAGGAAGGCTGCTCACAATGCAGGCCTCAAGCTTAGATATACGGAGGCAAACAGGGGAGGGGGAGAAGGAAGAGGAAGCGGGGAAAAGGCTCTAGCAGCAAGGAGAGAGAATGAAGGACACTTGCTTTTTTTTTTTTTTTAAAGCCGGCCGCAAAGGCGGGGAGTGGTTGGGGGGTGTAGGAAGGGGGAACAACGGGCAGAATTCTCCCACTTGGAAAGGCAACTCCTAGGTTACGGGGAACCCACAGCGGCTCGCGCGAATCCTCACCAGGCGAATGAAGCCAAAGCCACGGTCCCGGTTGATGAAGACCTCGCTAGGCTCCCCATAGCGTTCGAAGAGGCGCTTGAAATCTTCCTCTGTGATATCGGTAGGCAGATTCCCCACGAACAGCCTGCACCGTTGCGTGTAGCTCTTCTCGCCAGGTTTGAGGAAGCTTTTGATGTCGATGGTAAACCCAACCTCCTGCTCTTCATCTCCACCTTCTTTGCTCGGCACTAGCGCCATGGCCGCCGCTGCCTCACTCTCTGTTTCTAGGCCCCGCAATCCCTTCAGGTTGCCGCTGCCGCCACCACCGCCCCCCACCATGCCCAGCGGCGCCGCTGGGGAGCTATTCTCGATCCGCACTTGTTTTAAATTCCTGTTCGCTGCCATATTCAGAACTCGCTCCCTCCTCGCTGGCTTTCTCGGGGAACGCGGAGCTCCCTCCAGCCACCACCGCCCCCGATCCTCAGCCAGTTCAAAATGGCGCCGCCGCCAACCTCGGCGAGTTGTAACGTCCCTGAGGCACGCCCCGCCCACCACCGTGCGCGTTTCTCTCCCCGCCAGGGCCCGTTGCTGGCGCTGGGAGGGGTGTGTGCATGTGTTGTTCTGCGTGGCAGTGGGGCCGCAATGGGTTCCCATGGCGTCCGGCGTCCTTGAGGTAGTGTTCTCTTTCGGTTCCGGCATAGAGGCGGTCCCGCTTCAAGCCGGGAGAGATCGGTCTATCTGTCGCGTACCAGTGAGCTGCACTGCCTGAGCGGATAACCCGCCCAGAAGATCCCCTGCTGCACCTTGATAGCTCGACTCCCTCGGTGGTTGGCCCTCCCGCAACTATATTGTATTAGAGTTCTCGGAAGTATTCGGGTCCCGCAAGGTTTGCCACAGGTCGTGCCCAGGCGGTGCGACCTGGCGAGTGGCGAGTCCCTGGTGCAGTGTCTGGTCGGCTGAGGCGGCTGCTGGAGGGCGGATGGGGAAGGGAAAGCCCGAGCTCTGCGGAATGGCACGGGAGTGGAGGAAGGACCTGCAGGCAGAACGGGGAAATCGTTCACCGAGTGAGATGAGGAGACAAAGCTGAGTGGAGAGAGACCTTGTTACATCTGCTACTCACAGAACAGTTTCTTACACGGCAACAGCTTTCACTATGAAGGCGATGACTTTCTTTTGAGAGGTGCAAAGTCAAACATTTCCTTCCTTAGGCACCCCTCTTGTATGTTGGACCATGTCTTATCTGCAGCATAAGACTATGTTTTCTCTCTTTCTTGCCTGCTAGACGCCCAGTTCGTTGTTTTGCTCTCTGTGCTTCAACCAGCAATTCAACTGGCACATGGTTTCTCAGACAGAGCTCATCAGTCTGCCTGAGGCCTCATAGAATTCCCCTTCCCCACTCTTCCCTCCCGTGGGGGGAAGAAAATGGATAATCGGTTCGTCTCTTACTGCCATAGTAGACTGAGGGCCTCAAGTGCCCATGTAATTTTGCATCACACAGCGGAACTTCTGGACAGTTCTGGGCCCCTCAGTTCAAGAAGAACAGGGACCTGCTGGAGAGAGTCCAGCGCAGGGCAACTAAGATGATTAAGGGAGTGGAGCATCTTCCTTATGAGGAAAGACTGAGGGAGCTGGGTCTCTATAGTTTAGAGAAGAGGAGACTGAGGGGTGACCTTATTAGTGTATATAAATATATAAAGGGGGAGTGTCACGAGGATGGAGCCAGGCTCTACTCAGTGGCAAACAATGATAGGACAAGGGGTAATGGGTACAAACTGGAACACAAGAGGTTCCAATTAAACTTGAGAAGAAACCTCTTCTCAGTGAGGGTGACAGAACACTGGAACAGGCTGCCCAGGGAGGTTGTGGAGTCTCCTTCCCTGGAGACATTCAAAACCCGCCTGGACACATTCCTGTGTAACATTATCTAGGTGTTCCTGCTCCGGCAGGGGGATTGGACTAGATGATCTTTTGAGGTCCCTTCCAATCTCTAACATACTGTGATACTGTGACAATAGAGCAAGGCTTCAGGAGAAAATTACTGTTAATACAACACTGAAAAAGTCCACTCTCATGGTTTCTCGGGAAAAGGTTATTTCTACCACAGGGATGAATCCACTGCTCAGGGATTTCCTTGTCCATTGGGGAATATTTTAAGTTGTTCTGCCCTTCTGTCTTGTTTTTCCATCTGAGGCACAAGAAAGATCTCAGTCCCTTTTCTCCTAATTCTGAGCTTGTACCAGAATGGAGAAAACTTAAGTTCCCAGACAGCATTAATTACTTTATCAGCCCATCCCTTTCTCAACACACTCCTGGGTGTAAGGCATCAAACTAAACCCAGATTTAAATCGCTGAAAATCAGAAAATATAGCTGGTAGCGGAGGGGTATTTACTCCTAGCAAAGGCAAGAATTCAGGCAGCGTAGGAACATGAGGGAGGTACTAGAGTAGCAGCACGGGATCACTAAAGCTTAATCACCTCAACTGTCCAAAAGCTATGATTTGTAGTATATTTAGGATTCAATAACAGGTGTTAAGACAAAAAAATGAATCAACAACTTACAGCAAACCAATAGCTTTTTTAAACTGGAAAGCATGTAACTGGAGTGCAATATATGTTAGAAATCATGTGACTATACACTGTAGTGAAAGCGCAGTAGATGGGAAAAATAGTAGTAGTCTGTTTGTTAATTTATTGCCAGTACCGTGTAATAAAATTGCTATGGTTTTCAGACACAGTTTAAATCAGGTTAGAAATAAAATCTACAACCATTTAAATATACAACCATGATTTCCTGTGTAGTATAAAATAATCAGTAGGAGGAGCAAGGAGTGTTTACAAATTCCATATTGTTCTTACCTTTCCTTTGTTGTAGCAGCATCTCAGTAGTAAATGATAGTCCAGTAAAAGAGATCAATAAAATTCCAACTTCCAGAAACGAGAAAACTTAGTATATCTGAAGAAAATAAACAAAATATTCTATATGCTTATGCATCCATAGCTTACCTTTATTAGTTACACTCACAATATAACCATAATGCACATACTTGTCCTGGTTTTAAACTTTGTTGAGCAGGAGCTATTTGCAGATGCGCCATAGTCAAACATGTTAGGGTAATGTACAAAAAAACCCCAATATCTGCTATCGTAAATCACTTCCAATATATCTTCCAATCACTTACAATATATCATTTCACATTTTACTCTTTCATCAGAACACCACCAGACAGTTCATCTCCTACCTAACTGCTGGAAGTCTTAGTGGCTTGATGATTGCTACAGCTTGCCACTGACACCAGATAACAAACAAAACATTTTGAAAGGAGACAAAATGGGCCGCTTGAAGTTCTTGTTCCAATGCTTTCCTTCTGTTATAAACATGCACTTAAATTTTTATGACTTACTAATTGCAACTTATATCATGGGAATAGTTCTGCTAGACTTCTCCAGCCATTCTCCATAGGTTTAGTAGTATTATATTTAATACTTCGTTTGCAGTTGAACTACATGAAAGCAATTTCATAAGACTGGGGGAATAGTAGTTATGATCACATAGTGATTTGGTTTTACTCTGTAATTCTTGAAGGTTTTTCTTTGGAAGCCTGAATTTATTAAACTCGGCATTCAAAAGGCCACAACAGAAAACCCTAATTTTATACTAACAAAGTTTGGTTTGGCCTGGAATTTATTTTAAGACCTTAAAGAGGTCACAACTTCTTGTATTAGTAGTATACCACCCTCATGTGTGTTACTAGACTCCCTTTTCTGACTCATGTAGCCTTGGATTAGTGATCTCGCAAGTGGTGGTGTCTTTAAATACAATATTCATAAATACAGTATTCTGCACATTCATGATTGTCTGTAGTACAATCACTATTCCCCTAAGGACAAGAACACTTTAGTGGCAGAAAAGAGGAGCAGAACTGTAAAAGACACTAGTATTTTTCATTTTTGTCGGCTACAGAGAAAGGTTCTGTTTGGTGTATGCCGAAGTGCTTGCACTACCAAGAGATTTGGGTGTACTTCCAAAACACATACCATCCAGCCTTGTGCCTTATGAGACACAGTCAGAAGCAACTGCTCTAGTTATTTTCTGTATCACAGCATTACTTCCATACCAAATAACAGGATGCTGCTTAAAATCAGGGAGGCCTCAGACCTCTAAAAGAAAGTCATGACAGCTTTTATGTGCTTCAGACTTGTAAACAGTACACATCTTGATCTGCAAATGAAAATCCCGAACTATTTGTGCTTACCCTTGAACAACTTCAAAGTGATTGCTTGGGTAACAGCACTCCCAGGGTGACAGCTGTATTAGTGCTGAAGTCAGCTTCTCAGCATAGGCAATTGTAATTTACTGCTCAAGAAGTCTTTGGACTCCCAGGTTTACTTGCCTTTACTTCCTAGAATCTTCAATGAATCACAGTTAGGATCAGGACTTGTAACAAGCTACAGTGGTAGATCATGACAGAATATACCAGGAAGCACTAGAACTAGCATTAAGTTAGGGGATGGAGGTGAATGTTCCATTTGGGATGAGAATTGCAATATGAGAAAGCATGAAATTCCTCACTGAAAAAGGGAATGCAGTAGGCAGTGGCTGATGGCCTGAGGCTGGGATCCTATTAAGAAATGCAAAGCCAGGGAACTGAGGCACACCTCTGTGCAGGATCTGACACAGGTGGGAGCTGCTGCTGCTCTTCATCTCCTGACATTAAAGACAGCATTTGCTGGCAGTATTACTAATGGCAGTGTCTGGACAAATTAAATTTAGAATAGGTTTTGGGCTCCACTACTGAGCTTTTCTTACAAGGTTAAATTGGCAAAGAGTATTCAAAGCACTAGCTGTCATAGCTGTGCCAGCAAGCCTGACGGTATAGACATCATGGTGTGGAGAAGGAGGTGCTTAATGCAATCTGAAGCAGTGATTCAGCATACTTTGTCATTGTCTGAGGATGACCTCATTATGCTACTACTTGGGCATTAAGAATGGTAACAAGATAATGTCATTGCAGTGCCATCTGGTGATAAATACTAGAATTATCACTAGAATTTAATAGAATAAATCGAGTGAAAATAAAGATGGAAAACCTACAATAGAATTATCTCTCTGGTCCCAGATGGACAGAACAATTTGGATTTTCTACTTTTAAACCTGGTGGGCAAGGTTCTTTTCTCTAGTCTCCTCAATATTAGCATAATCCAACAAGAGAGAGTCACTGTTTTTACATGGAAAGAAATGTATATGAATCACATTTATAAAATAATCTGTAAAACCTAACCTAATATACATTCACCTACATGCCTGGTATAGATTTTGTTTTTATTTTATTAACCAAGTATGAGAAGTCAGTGTTCTTTAAAACAACATTGATCTCAAGGAAACAAGGACTGAAAACATACGAGAATGTATTTGTGAAAGTATACTTGTCAGATGGGCATTTAGGCTTGACAAAAGTTAACCTAACTTTTCCAAAATTACTTTCCCCACAAATATAACCAATGCATACAATACACTTCATTTTTAATATTTTTCAGCATACTGTCTTTGCCTGTT